CGTGCACACGCGGGGCTTCAGTTTGTGTCCTTTTATCACCCTTGCCCCTCCTTCGGGTGGGCCCTCGAACTCATTAGGCATCACGAGCAGTTTGTGAGCCTTTGGGAAATACCTCCGTGGGCTTGGGGGTCGTTTGGGGAGCAACTTCCCCTTCCCTGCAGGCATGATCTTTCGCCATCCATGGTGAGCTGCCCTGTTCAGCACGTCAGAACAGGGAGCTGCGCACCCTCCGGCATGGTCTCCTCCTGCTGCTCATGGGTGCTGATCGGCTTCTTTTCACCTGGAGTTCCTTGCTAGGCAGAGTTCGTTGTTATGCAGAGTTAGTCGTTAAGCAGAAGTTGCCCCACCACAATGTTTGAGATATTAACTCTTTCAGTCTCTTACACAGCTCAGTGCTTCTGGATGACGATTTGCCCTATCACATAGGGCAGAGATGTGAAGGCATGAGAAAAGGTTGTTGCAAAACCTTTCTGGGCATTCTGCTCTTCTAAAATGAAACCGGTCAGTGCTCTGCTGCCCTTTGCATCTTTGTGGAAGTGGCTGTATAAACCTAGCAGACAATGTGGACATAAAAGTTTAAAGTGTACTCTTAACTGAAGGCTTCTGAAGGCTGAGTGTGTATGTGTGTAAGGCAGGGATGTATTCCACTTCTGTATTCCTCACTCTTTATTCACCTTCTAGCATATAGCATTTTCTATATTTTAAACTACGGATTTGAAGGAAACAGATGTGGAACCAGAACTCAGATCTAGAATTGGTTTTAAGATGTTCTCTGACATTTTCTTTACTTCATTTTCCCTGTCTGTAACATGGGGGAAATGTTGTTACAGCATCTAGGTATGGACTGTTGTGGTTAAGTGCTATGCAAACCTAGAATAATAATAATAAAGAAAATTCACTCCAAGCCCAAAGAGCCTTATGTATTTCCAACCTCGCAAAAGTGCTTTTATAGTAAATTTACAAAGTTTTGGGTTTTTTTTAAGTTTTGGGAAGAGTAGACTTGTTAAACCCCACATAACAATGTTGATGGGTAGGAGACACAAAATCAGGCTTCCTTTCACTTAAGTTATAGGGAATTGCAGGCGGCAGCTGCATTTTTTCCCACCCTATCTGTATCATAAAAATCAAAGGGCAGTATTCTGATCTTTTGAAGTTTTAGAACAGTTTTGAAAACTTTGACTTTTGAATCAGATCAAAGTTATGAATATGGCAAAACAATCCCAGCTAGAATGCTCATCGGGTGTTATCTTCGAAATGTAATAAAATAGCTTATCTCCCTCTTCTGTTACAATGATTTTACTAAATATCTGACATTTACAGCCAACACTGTACTAGTAAGGGACATTTACTGTGTTCTTTTCTTCAAATGGAAGTTTCCCATGAAATAATAAGGAACATTTCAGAGTTGTGACGGAAATATTAATTATTCTGCTCTGTCCATGTTTTAATGTGTTTAAATATAGAGCATTTCAGCATATAAAGCAGTAACGTAAGTGCTAGTACCTCAGCACCTTTTAGCATGCACTGCTGAATACATAAATGTACACATTTTGAAACCACACAGATGTGAAAATTTGCAATTCAGAACCTAAAGTAGTTCAATAAAAAGACAGACAAAAATGTCCTTTATGTCTAAAGGCAAAGTACCCTGCTGCTGCTATTTTAGGAAAGAAAATTAATGACCATTTTTTACAAAGGAAGCAGCTCTTCTCTGCAGTTTAGAACTGATTAGTAAATGGATATGCAGAAAGCTCTGTATGGAATTAGACAAGTATGAGTCTGTGCACTTCAATCTATTTTATACATGTTTTCCAAGACCTCAACAACTAAAGCTAATGCTCCCTCAGATCTATTGAACTAGGTCGTTAAATTAATAATGGGCTGCCCTTCTGTCTGCACTTATGGCACTTAGCAAATCAGCGTGTGTGTGTATGTTCATCTCATGAAGGAGAAGGCTCCTGCCAATGAATTAGATTAATCCATCAAGAGAATTAATGTGACTTGATTACTGTTGATATCTGAAAAAGCTAGCACGCAGGAACAGATATCTGCATCTGTAGGAAGTAAGCAACAACACTCCAAACCATTGAGCAAGGCCCTGCACCTCTACTATTGAATAAAGAGGTTGCTGACACCAAGACGTGGTGATGGGCTGCTGATGTGATAAATGCAAAGTGTGCCACACCATCTGAATGTTCCTATCAATGCTTAGCTTAACTGAGTTGGGTTGGTATTTTGCCACAAATAGTTCTAACTCCTTCTGTCATGCAAAAATATTTCCCCAAATTAATTTTCAGTTCTCTTGCTTCCTTAAATAGCAAGAAAGAGCAGAGGCACTTGAAAATTAACTAAGAAAAACTCTGCAGCCACTCCCAAAAGTAAAAAATCGACTGCACTTTGGACACGGCTTTGACAGTTTTGCCAGTTCTTTCAGCAGCTACTCTATCTCCTTCAGTTCTCTTGCTGATGGAGTGCCATAGCCAAGCTTATTAATGGTTTGGAAGTTCCCGATTACTGAAAAAGTAGTCCCTTAAGCCAGTGATAACTAGCTGAGAGCAGAATGCAAAGATACTTCTGTATCATAAATATTAAAATATAATGAAAAGTTTATAACTGGGATAAGGGAGAAGGTTTCAAAATTACTGAAGTGGAAATATATAAAGAACAACAGGTTTTCTTCTTGGAAGAGAGAAATATGCATGTGGACTTTTTTGTATTACAGACATGACAATTATGATTTTCCATGAAACCAAGTTAAAAAAATCACAAGCATTTAAAGTGATCTTAATGCTGCCTCCTAAAAGTTGATGGGCAGTTTGAGAATTTCATTTATCAAGAATGAAGCATTAGAGATCTACCAACAGCACCCAACACTTTTGATTAATCATTTTACTTAGCTGCAGCAAAGGAGAGCAAGACTGGGCTCATAGTCTCACACCTACAAAAAGACTATGTTTGATTTTTCTCATACATAGTAAGAAAGGCATGAAGCAACTCAAGAGTCCCAGAGAATTGTTCTTCAACCTCTCTGAGGTCTCTCTGCCCTCCCAACCACTGGCCGAGGATCCAAAGACTGGGCTTGGTGAGCTGCCCAGGACCTTTGCAAGCATTGGGGTAGGGAACAAATTGTCCAGATGGTTTGTTAAACAAACAAACAAAACTAAGTGTCTATTCAATGAAGCTGTTAGTCTAAAAACAGGATATATTGAAATAATTTAAGACTTTATGGATACAAATTTTTTCAGGTATTTGTCTGCAGTGGAACACTCATTTACAGATGAGGTTACTGTAGTGCACTTAGGCTTCAAAAGCATGATACATGGGACTCTTTTATTTGTTTCCTAACAATACACGGCAATATAGGTAGCCTGACACAGCCACAAAATAGCTATTTGAATGCACAATAGCAAATACATACTAAACCCAGTAAATTTTGAATAAAATGTGACAGCATGTAAATCACTGGGTGTGGCTTGCAAAGGTGGTAGGTATTAAGCTCAGGTATAACCATCAGTTTGACTAATGATGCATACAGAACATAACATGTGGAATTACCCAGCACTTCTTGGAGGAGCTGTTTTCATGAACAGTAGAACAAAAGGAAGGAAAAAAAAATCAAAATAACATAATGTCCTGTGCAGGCTATCTTAAAACATTCTGGACTGTTATTTCAAAATCAAATTTCCACAAATAAAGAGAAAAATGTCGTTCACTGTGGCACTTTCCGCAAAGTCGGAAGGTTAAAAGAAAGTTATTTTGTAACCGAGCATAAAATAGGCATTTGAAAAATGATTTAGCTGGAAAAACCACAATTTTTTCCACATTAAGATAACTTAAGAACACCCAAATTGATTTTTATTAGACTTCTCATATTCACTTCTGAGCTGACACATGCATGAGATATTCAGCCCTAAAGGTCACTTCTGAGAAAGCTATAAGTAACTGGAAACAGCAATGCAGGATGAAAAGATGTCTCTTCCCTAACGATTACTGCTGGAGTGTGATAAATATTTTACTCCTAAGGCTAAGAGCCGGCTCCTGTAAATAAATTTCTATTTCTTAGCTGCACTGATAACTGAAAGATGAGGTGACACAGCTGGTTTTCCCGATTTTGAGTTTTTGTTTAAAGAGAGGGTGGGACAGCCCAACCTGGTTTTAGCAGACATTGGTGCTGAGGGGGCCTGGGTTGGAGGGAGCCCACCGCGTGCTTCTCCACGGACAGGAGTGGCTGGCTCCTCTTGTACCTCTGAGAGCAGGGCCTGCTGGCCATGCCCAGCGCGGGTGCCCTCCTCCTCCATGTGGCCCCTTCCCAGGCTGCTCAGTGCTTTTCTAGAATGGCCGCTTGAACACTCAACGCAAGTGTCGCTCCTCACCCCGGCTGCTAGCGTCTCATTCGCCCTCTCTGGGCTTTGGTCACCCCATGCTTTATTCTCTCCTTCTCCTTTTCCTTTTGGTGTCAACATCAGTCATTAGGGTTCAAATATGAAAAAATCAAAACAAAAGGGGAACGCCTTTGGCGGCTTACAGCTTTTCTCCAGAGCTAAATGGCTGGCTCTGCTATCAGTTGAGAAAAGGAAAGGCGGGGGGTAGCTGGCTGGCTGTGGCTGCCTGTGGCTGCCTGCGGAGGGGGCCTAGGCCTCTGCGAGCAGCCTCGGTTTGGGGTTTAGCCGGCCCAGCAACCCCTTCGCTCCGCTTTTCACCCCGGCCCCGCCACCCGCTC